CCCTCCTCTTTAAAGTGCACATTCAAAACTCACAACAGATGAAGTGCAAAGAGCCGTCTTTCATTGCCTCTCTGTAGGTGCACAGCCCATTGCCTCTTTAGGTGTGCATAACCAGTGGTAAACAGAGGCTCCAGTTCTCCAGCATAAAGAAATGTTTTACTATGCACAACCTGAAGGAATTACGATGGAACAGGTGTGTACAGTCCTCTTTAAAGTGCACATTCAAAACTCACAACAGATGAAGTGCAAAGAGCCGTCTTTCATTGCCTCTCTGTAGGTGCACAGCCCATTGCCTCTTTAGGTGTGCATAACCAGTGGTAAACAGAGGCTCCAGTTCTCCAGCATAAAGAAATGTTTTACTATGCACAACCTGAAGGAATTACGATGGAACAGGTGTGTACAGGTATTAACTTGAAAATACCTCTATCTGACAGCTCTCAGGATAAGCAATGTATTGCTATGAACTACAGCTCCCACGTGTTTGTTACACACTCCTAGTTTGTTACATACTCCTTGTATGGATCATAGGATAATTCAGGTTGGAAGGGACCTCAGGAAGTTCATCTAGTCCAACCTCCTGCTCAAAGCAAGGTCAGCTATGAGACCAGATCAAAAGCCTTACTCAAGGCTTTATCCTGTCTGCTCTTCAAACCCCTCAAGGATGGAGACTGCATAACCTCTCTGGGCGACCCGTTTCAATACTGTTCTAGGCTCATGGTGCTGAAGTTTTTCCTATAGGCAGACTTAATTGTTCTTTTTTCAGCTTATGAAGGTGGAAGTACGTAAGTTTTAAGTCAGTCTTCTATAAATACTTTTACTCTTAATATGTTATTACTTTTCTCTTAATATGTTATTACTTTTCAGTAAGAAAGATCCATGAACAAGTATTTAAACTCTGACTCACCAGATTTCCTTGTATTGTTTTTAAGCCATGTGAAACTTGTTCAATAAGCTGTTTCAGTTTCCTTCCAATTACATGGACTTTCTCATCAGCTTCAATGTAATCACCATCTGATTTAAGCAGCAGGTAAGCAGCAAGTTCTTGAAGTGAGTTTACTTTAAGCTGTTGTTCCAGCAGCTCTTTCTCCAGTTGCTTAGAACAAACAAAAAAACCCAGTGCAATAGACTGTTACTCTCCACCTTAAGGATGTTCTCATAAAAGGAGGAACTCTGAAAGGCTTTAAAGAACAACTCAACCTGCCTGAGAATCCGCAATACATACAAATGGCTATTACAGCTACATATGAAATGAAGTTCTCTTGAAGAGACTGGCTGTACCTGCTTGAACTAACATTTAGAAATAGTTCTAGCAGTAATTAATCCATATGGAAAAGACATTAAATCTTGGAAATTGGAAGTCTTACTCCAGCATAAAGACTGTTCATAAGGAACTTAATTACGATGCGTAATTACAGAAAAAATGCCTCATATAGGCAGTATCTTAGTTCATTTCAGAAACCTGCCACGTGCCTGAATACAGCAGGTTTAAGGACAGGCTGCAGACATCTTGAGAAATAAACATATTGCTCTTCATTTTGTGGTGAGAGCTACTGACTCACTGGAAGAGCTGAGGTGCTGTAGTTAAGACTACACTTACCATTAGCTCCTTTTGGCATTCCAGTATTGTATTGAGGTCAGCGTTTGGATCTGTGATTTGTGCTTCATTCCTTCGGCTATCAGCACTTGCTAACCACAGGATTAGTTCTTGGCTCTGATCATGGAACTCCTAGAGAAACAAAAGATTTGCACATAAGAGAAAAAACACTTTTGCAGTGCTTTCACCTCGCTTTGCCTAAAAACAAAATGACCAGCCCAGATTAGACAGAGCCAACAACAAACTCATGATTAGTGAGGCTACAGCAACCTAGTTAAACTATTCCACCTGTGTAATAAAAGGGTATTATCCAGTTCAAAGATATTTTTACCAAACCCTTTAAACCCAACAGAGTCAAATTTATAAGAAAATTAAATGTCTTGGATTCTGAGCAACCCTTCCACTAACGTGCAGGAATTACCCCTCTGCCCTCTCCCCTTCTCTACCCTGCAGTAGCACCCTAAAGAGGAGTTTTCCCTTATAAGCTGGCATGTGGTATGCACCTGGCAATGCAGTAGGGCTTGTTGTAAACCTTTCCTCCAGTTGTCCAATGCATGAGTTGCTTTCTCCCAGCGCAAGTTCACCTTCCGAAGCCTGTTCTGAAGCTCTTTGAACTCTGTGCTATCCGCTTTCTGGAATTCTTTGCTGCTCAGGTTAACGGAAAGCACTACTGCCTTGTAGTTATCAAATGCTTTAAGCATGTCCTGGTAGAAAAAGCAGATTAAGAGCTTCTATGAATGATGAAAAACATGTTGTTTATTTACAATAAAACTACACCCTCAAAAGAATCACAGGTATTGGGGAAAGCTGTTTGAATCTGGTGGCTTTTCAGATACTGCCAAAGAACATATTAAGGTAGGTGGCCTGTTCTATCTTTTGTTTTGTTTTTTTTTTAAAGCAAAAACCTTCTCTTTGAAGAAAACTGGTTGCACCTGTGCTTCTCCCTAAATCACCGGCATTGTGGCTTAATCCACATCAGCCC